GGATGGTCAGAGCTGGTGGATGCTCTTCAGTTCAAGGTCAGGGTCAGGGTTAACCTGATGTTGCCACCCCACACTGGCCAGTGCCCCGGGGCAGGTCTAAGCCCCTGCACTAAGCACCTTCGTGCCTCTGTGCCCAGGAGTCATGCCCCCTGACGAATACCATTCCGGGGTCAACAACTCCGTGTACACCAACGTGCTGGCCCAGAACAGGTCAGACCCAAGACCCCAGCCCACCCAGCGCCCGTCCCCAGCCGGTGGGTGGCCGTGGCTGATAAGATCAAGGTGCCCTTTGACCCGAAGCACAACTTCCACCCCGAGTTTGATGGATATGAGCCTGGTGAGTGGACTCGGGGCCCCGTCTTCCTCCCGACGCCCCTTCCCGACAGAGGGTCCTGTCGGCCTCCCCCCCCTCAGCAGCCCCTGTCCCCCCCCCAGGAGAGGAGGTGAAGCAGGCAGATGTTGTGCTCCTGGGGTACCCCGTCCCCTTCTCCCTGAGCCCTCAAGTTCGCAGGAAAAACCTGGAAATGTACGAGGCTGTGACGTCGCCCCAGGGCCCGGCCATGCGGCACTGACTGCCCCGCCCCTGCAGGTGTGGACGGAGAACGCCGACGGGTCCGGCGCCGTGAACTTCCTGACGGGCATGGGGGGCTTCCTGCAGGCGGCGCTCTTCGGGTTCACAGGGTTCCGGTGAGTGGGGTGACCGGCAGAAGGGGGTCGCCGCCCTGCCTGCCCTCTTCACAGAACCTCCCCTCCCGCAGGATCACCCCAGCCGGCGTGACCTTTGACCCCATGTGTCCGGCGGGGGTCTCTGGCGTGTGTGTCTCTGGCGTCTCCTACCAGGGGAGCAAGCTTGACTTCCCCCCTGGCCTGCCCTCCCTCCCATGCCGTGGACCTCACCCCAGCGTGCCCTCTGCCCTCTGCCCCCAGAGCATGTTTGCCGTGGGCTGGATGGAGCTGAAGGACGCCAGGCGGGCACGGGACCTGCTGGACAGGAGCTTTGCCAACATCACCGAGCCCTTCAAGGCCAGGCTGGGCCCCGCCTCCCCGTCCCCTGGCCACA